GAATGTTGTTGAGTAAATTCTGTTTTCGCTCTATATCGTCCTAGCGTTGCCCCTCGCCTACTTTAGCTCGAACTTTTGTCATGTTTGTTTATGACGTCGCAGCGAAGAAAGCAGCAACGGTACATTAAAGTATTCCTTTTCCCTATTTATTTCTTCCTTTCTCTTCTTTCTTCCGTTGCCTCTGCGTTCTTAAGCGCATTCGTATTTAAAATGTGCAAAAATGCACTTGTTAGCTCCGTCCGTCCGCCCGACCACTTCTTACTACTCGAGAACGGCTGAATGGGTTTTTATTAGCTTATATTCCGGATTGTTGCTAAAATTTGTGAACACGTTCCGCTTTTGGAATACAATAACGAGCTCTTCACACGAAGACCTACTCTCGTCTTTGTGCTGCCTCCATCATCAGGGCGATCGCCCTAGTGACGGAGGCAGTATGACCTCAGAAAAGTTGTTAAACATCGACCAGACTACACGGCGAAACAACCCAGAAGACAGAAATCTTCATACTCATCGCCCTGATGATGGAGGCAGTATGACCTCTGAAACGTTGATTGACATCGACCAGACTACACAGCGCAACAATCCAGAAGACAGAAATCTTCATACTTATCGCCCTGATGATGGAGGCAGTATGACCTCTGAAACGTTGGTTAACATCGACCAGACTACACAGCGCAACAACTCTGAAGACAGAAATCTTCATACTCATCGCCCTGATGATGGAGGCAGTATGACCTCGGAAACGTTGTTAAACATCGACCAGACTACACGGCGAAACAACCCAGAAGACAGAAATCTTCATACTCATCGCCCTGATGATGGAGGCAGTATGACCTCGGAAACGTTGTTAAACATCGACCAGACTACACGGCGAAACAACCCAGAAGACAGAAATCTTCATACTCATCGCCCTGATGATGGAGGCAGTATGACCTCAGAAACGTTGTTAAACATCGAACAGACTACACGGCGCAACAACCCAGAAGACAGAAATCTTCAAGTGTCGTTAAGTTTCCCAAGAATCTTTTAAATAGGAGTAAGTAAATTGTGCCAAAAGTAATTGGATTTGTTTTCTGATGTAGACCTGTGACTTAATGTTGTTCTTCAAGTGCACTTTACTTGCCAGTAGCTGAATGAAATAACCTAAAAATGGTAGCGTCGTGACGTAATAGAAGCATCAAGTCGTCGCGTTGGCTTTCCCTGCGAAGCGTTTACACTGCTTCAAGGCGGGATGGTATATTTCAGAGGATGCGACCACACCATTTACCTGAAAGCCCCCAATTACGAGTGAGCTGTTATAATTAAGAGCGGCATCCCCTTTTTCCTTTGTGGGCCAACCTTTGGTGGCGATATGGATCGATAAACCTTTCATGTTATTGGGGAATTGCTTGACTTTACGTACTCTTTGTGTGTTCGTACGCTTGACTCTTGCTTCCTACCGCAGCACGTTGGTCCGAAAACATACCTAACCTTTACTTTTGAACTGACCACGGCTGCCGTGGGGCTTCGGGTTATTGAATAGTTTATCCGTAATGAGGTTTCATGTCCGTTCTTTTGAGACTGTCGCTCAAGGAAAATATTGCGCAACCGTGTTATTTTTTGTCTCGATCTGCGATATGTGTCGATATTCTTCTGCAACGTCACAGTGTTCATAGCTGTCATATGGTACGTTATGATTAGAAGGTGTTCCAAAATGTAGTTATCTGAAAATCCAAGATCAATTGGAAATTCCCGTTTTTAATTTATGGAACGTCGAAGTCATACTGAGAGACAAACATTAGTCAAGAGGTAAAACTAATGGAGAGATAGAATCTACTCCTAATATAATAGCCAATGTCCGTCACGCTAACTGTACGAATGCGACGTTTGTGCGATGCATAAAATTTATGAACTGTGTTCTGACTGTGGCGACTGTGATATCAAGAAATGCAAACGTGGCAGTGATGGAGCCTATGGTGGGGTCTGACGGAGTTTGCGTTAGGCAGGAATCTGGCTAAAGTCACCGTGGAGTTGTTTTTACATTTAGGCCTAATTTACTTTATTAAAAGACATTTTATAATTTTCATGTGATTAGCAAATATAATGTTGCACAAAATGTTATTAATATTCAACACAAAACGTTATTCCTGTCAGTTTAATGGGTCATACTACGCTAGTGTTAAGTGTAATAGGTGACAATCAGTTGAAAATGTGCATATAAGCCCTACACATCATATTGTATCGCAGGCCTATCAGTGTAATATGTTACAGCCTGTAGCTTTATGAGGATCCAAGAAATGACAAATAGAAATTGCAAGAACACGTAGAACGTTGTAATTTAATTTTCATTAACAATCTTATGAAATGCATTATTAGATGGTTTTATGTCTATTTGATACAGTAACGCACAATTTACCCGGTGTAGCTGAGGAAGTCCACCGAGCCGAGTTTGAAGCCCCTGAATACGAAGCAGGGGTGCTAAGTACTTTCAACAAAGACGCGTTAGTAGGCCACAATAGGAGATTTACACTCTAAGAAATGTTTGAAAACAGAAGCATAATCCGATTTCTCAGCGTAACTGCATTTGTTTCAGATCACACACAGGTAAACGGCAGGACACGAATGTGGCTGAGAGATTTCAGCCATGCGAGTTCATAAATCATTGTAATTTCCCCAACGATGTAAGGGTGTGGCGAACCCACGCAAGCACAGCGTCCCTTTCTAAACACGCAACACCTGTTACGGTTATTGCTTATTTATGATAATTTAAAATGTTCGTTTTTGACTGAAATCTCCGGTTCGATTCTTACTAGAGTCGTTTTGTTCTGAGTCCTTGAGACTCGCGGTACAAGTTGATGAAAGGTTGCAGTAGTATCAAGAATGCAGTCTCAGGGACGCTGAAGCACACTAAATCCATTGCTATGATTAAAGTAAAAGAACGTGTTAAAATTAATTGCACCCAATTGTTCTGAACGTACTCAGATGTAATGCAGCAGAGGGTATGTTAATTACCTCATTTAACAGCGTCATGAAATGTAGAACTAGAATGGCTGTGATGAGGGTGTTGAGGAAGGTATTTGTGCCTTGTTAATCAAGAATGATTAAATAACGTTGAATTTAATGGACCTTTAACATTACGAGGAAGTGGTTTAAGTAGGTCATCTAGTATCTAGTACCCTGAAATCAATGACATTAAGATGAGCTGGAAATTTGACGCACAAATTTGGTGAAATAACAGCTAGAATATGAAATACCAAGAAAGATGCTATGATAGTATACCCTGTGGGTTATAGAAATTAATTTTGAGATTAGACGATGCCTTGAATTCAGTTATCGGCTGTGGGCAATGGCATTGGCGGGGTTGGTCCTCCGGTTCTACTGTCGTGATCAGCTAGTTTACTGTATAGTAGCTTGTGATTTTCATAGATAACTATCTTGTTGTGTAGATAGGAAGTTAGTAGTTGTTTTATTAATTGGTTAGCTACTTATTTCGATAATAAGCAAGGCAGTTACGCATGTTCGTGATTAGCTACGTAGTTAGCAAGCTAATCTAATTATCTAGTTTGCAAGTGCGCAGTATTATTGCCTGTGGAGATAGCCTGTGAGGTAGTTTTAAAGCTATTTTACTTTGGTGGCTGTTTAGTCTATTTTTATGACTGGCTGCCTAGTTATAGAGTTTTGTAGGTTATTAGATACCTAGTTAGCGACATCAGGAGTCTGTACTCGGGATGCATTTTGGGTGCATAATTTCTTGTGTCACGTGGCGTTGTGTAAGCCACGCGTTGTGATAGTGCTACCTTACTTCCTGTTTGAGCTTGTGTGGTGGCTAAAATATTAATTACTTTATTAACATTTTTTGCAGTTCCTGCTCTTGCTAACTGCATCGCTCATTACTGTTCCGCTCATGTTTGTAAGTTACTATGCCCTCCTGTGGTAACGTACTGGTTTGAGTTCGGAAGATGTTAAGAGTCCAGTCCCGGCCGAGGCATCAGTTAATTGTCTTTCAGGTTATTAGAGGTTTTTGGCAGCCACCCGCGAAGATTCCCCTATCCTCCTTTCTAGCTAGTCATGCAGTAATCCTCTAGAGATCACATATCCCTTGTTTTACTCTGCCTTTCTAAACTAATGTTGGGGTGGTTTCTTAAACCAGGCAAAGGCCATTTCCATCAATTTTCTTCCCAGTTCGTAGTTGGTAATTAGGTTCATTTTTGTCCGACATACCTATGAGGTTGATAAGAATCGTCAAATAATATAAGAAAATCATCTTCAGGTTCTCTCGACGGTGACAATGAAGACGACTGTGTTCCGTGTAGTCTTATAAATGTTTACCGACATTCAGAGATGTTTCCCGCAGTCGCCCTGATGATGGAGGCAGTAAGCACCTTTGCAACTGTGGTAAACTTCCAGACGTCATGGCGTAACAACAC